TCAGCAGAAACCTCCTAATCAGTTGTATCAGCATCAGAAGCTGTAGCATCATCATAATCATCATGATCATCATCGTCGTCATCATCAGCAGCAGCATCATCACCTCCTCCTCCGCCTCCTCCTCCTGATCCTCCTCCTTCTCCCGCTCAAGCCCATTGTTGTTCGAAACTCCGTTTGGGGAAGAGGCCTCCGCTACAAGCCACACGCGCATACTGTGCCCGGGCTGGCTGCGCAGGCGTGACAGCTACGAGCATCCGCGGCGCTTGAAGGGCGCCCTCAGCGGCGGCAAAAGTCGTGTGGTCAGCGAGTTCATGTCAAATAAGAATGGTGGTCGCAGCGGCAGCCGCCAACCATCCACGCACGGCAAGAGGCGCCAGACCTACTACGTGTACGGCAAATGCCCCACGTCCTGGGTCTATGCCAACGCTAATCGTGCTGGTGTTCCTGGCCGGGAAGGTTGCACAACCTGTGGCACACCCTGGCCACGACGTCGTGACCCCTCCCGTGAGCGACGCGTCTCTTTCGCCCTCGGGAAGGGCGATGCTGGGCCCTCGGAGCTGGTCCAGCGGCTGCTGCCCAGGTAGCAAGCTGCCCGCGAAGCCGAGAACTGAGGGCCAGCGCCCAGGTAGCAAGCTGGTCCAGCGCCCGCTGCCCAGAGGGCTGGTGGGATTTTTGAATCCCACCAGCCCTCTGGGCGTCGGTGGTTTAGAGCGTTTCCTCTTCCACCCCTCCTTCTTCCCCTTCGGGGAGGGGTTTACCCCTCCCCCAGAGGGTTTCGTGAGTCGTCGGGGCGTCCAAAACGGCCTCGGCGAGGAAGCCAAAATCGTTGATCTCACTAGGGTTTTGGCACCATTTTGGCATCCTGGAGGGGGGGGGCCTAATTGAAGCTCCCCTCTTGTTTGATCGATCTCCTCCAAGATGGCCCCAAGAAGCGCCCAGGAGGCCCCGAGAGGCCCCAAGATGGCCCCAAGATGGCCCCAAGAGGCCCCCAAGAGGCCCCCAGGAGGCCCCCAAGAGACCCCCCAGAGGCCCCAAGAGACCCCCCAGAGGCACCCAAGATGCTCCAAGAGGCCTCGGCGAGAATGCCAAAACGGCCTCGGCGAGGAAGCAAAACTCATTGGTTTAACACGATGGTTTGGGCCCTCCTGGGGGGGCGGGGGGGGCAAATTAATGCTCCCCTCTTGTTTGATCGATCTCCTCCAAGATGGCCCCAAGGAGCGCCCAGGAGGCCCCAATTGGTCCCAAGATGGCCCCAAGATGGCCCCAAGAGGTCCCAGGAGGCCCCCAAGAGACCCCCCAGAGGCCCCAAGAGACCCCCCAGGGGCACCCAAGATGCTCCAAGAGGCCTCGGCGAGAATGCCAAATCATTGATGTTACGAAGGTTTCAGCCACATGTTGGTCTCTTGGGGGGGGGGCACTCATTGAGGTCAAGAGCGCCTGGGAGAGCCCAAAATGACCTCCAAGATGGCTCAAGATATCCCAAGATGTCTCATAATGGCTTCCTCTGTGTGCTGCCCACTTCCCTGATCGAGGCAATTCCTCTGGGCATCGTTTCTGGATGGGCTGGTGGGGATTCGCGAAGCGTCAACAATGTTCCTCCTGTAGAGGAACAGGCCTGACTTCAACGAAGGGACCGAGGCGGGCCCAGGGATCGAGATGGGCCCGAGACAGTTGCAAAAGCCGAGCAGACGTCGGGCGAGGAAGAGGCTTGTCAAGTGGTAGGCTGGCAGGCTGACGCGCAAAGCTGAGGGGACCCCAGGGGGGCCAAGGCCGCGCTTTGACTCGCCGCCACTGGCATCGTGCCTCGGACGGCCTACATGACCGAGGCGATCCCAATTTCCCCGCAGCCAGTGCAGGAGCTCCGCGCTCGCCGAGCAGGCTTGCGCCTTCGAGGGCCAGAGGACGCCGTCTCACCGCCGCCTCGCACCTGGACTGCGGTGGCCAAGCTCCCGCCGTGCAGTCAGCCCGCACCACAGGGACGCACGATGAGGATGCAAGGGCATTGGAAGGCCATGTCGACGCTTTGCCAGCGGGGCGCGGCCAGCGAAAGTGACCAAGGATGGACCGAGGAGGCAAGGACACAAGGGTACCTTGGGAAGGTCGCCCATCCTTACTATGCGGGCTGACTGTACGGTGACCAAGATTCCGCCACATCGCGATCGCTGGGCACCATCAGCCTGTGGTTCGGCCTCATGTCTTCATCTAGCCTGCTGCGACGTAGGGCCGCCAAGGCCTGGTTTTTGATTGTCAAAGGCCTCGAGGAGGCCAAGCCCAGCAAGCGTTGGTTAAGGATAAACGGCGCGATGGTGGGAGCGGTTTTCGTGCTTCCATCTGCGGGGTGGAAGCCAGTTGGCCCCTGAAACTGGATCCACCCCTGCGGAGACAGATGCGCGATGCCCTAGGGGGTTTTCGACGGTGACCCCGACTGGGAGCCTGTTCCAGAAGCTTGTGAGGACAATTTGAGGCGTTCCTGCTGGAAAGAAGCTTCCAAGCACTATGATGGCCAGGGCCTCGAGCAGGGTGCGGAGACCTCAGACACATCAAAAGCCTTGAGAGCCATGGCCAAGAGAGGTACCAGCCAATCAAGGTCTGCACAGTGCACAGTCATGGCGGCAGGTTTTTGGTCGCGCGATCGGTTGCTCCAAACAGGGGTTAAGGTCGACAGTAACGTGTGTGCGAAGTGTGGCCGCGAGCCTGAGACGGACCTTTACCGCTGCTGGACGTGCGTGGAATACGACAAGACTCCTAGATGCCAGCACATCCAGCATTTATGAGACCAGGCAGTAGGGGGGGCAGACGCTCAACCATGCTACTGGCTAAGGGGTATCTTGCTCAGGGGCGACATCCCCAAAGACTGGGTTTCTGTCCCCGAGATGCCGGACCAGTTGGAGATCCAGCTCGACCCCTCCCTCGACCCCCCCGCGGGCCTCCCTTCGGGGGTCTTGGACCACCCAACTCTCAGGGGCCTGCAGGAGCAAGGGGGGATCTGGCTGGCTGGGGACGCCTCGGGGGGGCCTTTTCACAGGACACCCGAGTCTGAGGAGCGCGACCTGGGCTGATCTCGGTGGACCGGAGACCCCTGGGGACCCGGCCCGAGGGAACCGGGATCCCGTCTTGAGAAGTCTGGGAGGTTCGGTGGAGCCCTCCGGGTGTTAAACCAGGCATCCATCGCGAGGAACTCTCTGCTTTCAAGCAGGCCATGTTAGCTGCTGAAGCTAGACATTGAACTCATATCGCTGACAGAGTGCGCACGCACAGCGAGGTCTGTGGAGGCTGCGAGCCGAAGCTGGGCTGGAAACCGGGTGCGAGCGCGCTCTCGGGATGGAGACATCGAGCCAGTCGAGGTCGAGCGTCCTGCTGCAGAGCAAAGGAGGAATCTGCGCGCGCCTCCCCGTCTTTGCCGTCGCGCGTCAGGTGTGCAGTGCATCCGGCGGACGGGCTGGCTCCAAGTTTGCCCTGGGAGCCCAGGTCTCTGCAGGCTTCTCCCTGGAGGAGGAGGAGGAGGAGGAGGAGGAGGAGGAAGAGGAGGAGGAGGAGGAGGAGGGGAGCCAGAGGCCGAGGGGAGGAACATCCGCAGAAGACTGGCCGCCGTGCTGGCCGAGATGCCAGCCAGTTGTTCGGATAGGGATGCGCAGGTGGAGTCTCGAGGCTGGACACGCCGCGCGCCCTGGCTGAGACTCTGCACCTTCACGGCTCGGCCGCGGGATCCAGTCGTCACCGTCGTTGGCACTGCCGTGCGTGTGGTACAGGCCTCGGAAGAAATTAGCGAACACTCATGCCGCATGCATCTGTCAATGCCCCCCCTCCCAATGATCGATGTTGGCCGTGGGTTGAACGAGCTGCACTTCGACCACACTCTTCCCCGCGCGTGCTATCTTTGAGTTTGGGGGAGTGGGGGAATGTCCACGACTTGTTTCCCTCTACCGTACGGAACCGGCCAAGAGAACCAAGGGAGCAGTGATCGAGTGGTTGAGGAGACCTGTACCCCACATGCCCTCAGCGACCCCAGCAGCCAGGTCCCGCGAGAGGCAGGGCCAGTGCAGGGGGGCATCTCCGCGCACGCGTCGCATACGACGAAGTGGTGGGAGGTGGGGCTGGGGTCTCGGAAGGAACTTGATTCTTGCCTGCTCTAGATGTGGTGGCCTTGGCATGGACCACTACAGGAGGAGCGGGAAGCTTGCCAAGGAGTGCCAGGCCCCAACTCGAACGGGGCTTCAGCATTTGCGAACGCGAAACTCCTCGTCGTCCCCCTCCTCCTCGTCCTCCTCCTTCTCCTCCTCCTCCTCAACATCATCATCATCATCATCATCATCATCATCATCATCATCATCATCATCATCATCATCATCATCATCATCATCATCATCATCATCATCATCATCATTATCATCATCATCACCAGCATCATCATCATCATCAGCATCATCATCATCATCATCAGCAGCAGCAGCATCATCATCATCAGCATCAGCATCATCATCATCAGCATCATCATCAGCAGCAGCAGCATCAGCATCAGCATCATCAGCATCAGCATCAGCATCAGCATCAGCATCAGCATCAGCATCAGCATCAGCATCATCATCATCATCATCATCATCATCATCATTTCTCATGCTGCGTGTTGTTTTCCACATTTACCCCCTCCCCTGAACCTTCCCTTTCCCAAAATCCTTCCTCTCTCGCCTACTGGAACATCCAAAAAGTACGTTATCTCATCAGCCGCTACCTGTTATGCACCCGGTGTTTAGGAAAAGCAGTAACACACCCTCGCTTCCCCACCACAATAACCTTCCTCTTTTCCCTTCACTTCCACATCCTTCTCCCCCTTTTCCTCCTCGACGTCCCCCCATGTACTCCCTGTCAGCGCCCTGACTCAACTTGCTGCCTTCATGCGCCTCCACGACCTCTCGGTGGGCTCGTCGTGGTCCCATCCAGCTCTCCTCCTCCCTCCTCAACCTCCTCCTATTCCTCCTCTTCTCCCTGCCTCGCAGCGGGTCCTGTCTCTCGTACACGTCCGGGTCGTGATATTCGCCGATGAACACAGGTGTCCCCATGAAGAGCGCGTCGTAATCATCCTGCCCTCTTCTACCCCCCCGTGCCCCGCTTCCGGAAAACGAGAGGAGGGAGGGACGGAGCTCGAGAATTCGGGACGCGCACAAACTTTGACTATGCCATGCCACACGTTTTTTGAACTCGCGAAACACCAAGACGACACAAAACATTGGTTTTTTCGGGCGATTTGGGTCCAAGACGCGGTCGGGGCAGCCGAGGGAAGCTTCAGAGCCAAATGAGGCACAACAGGAGCAGGAAAGGCGCGGAGGGAGGAGAAGAAGCCGCGGGCGACGGAACACGCTCAGACCATGAAGTTTTTGTGCGTGTGTGCCAGAGCACAAGCATACACGGGCAGCAAGGCAAGCGGGAGTGGCGAGGCGGCCAACGACCGAGACTAGCATGGGGGAAGCGGGTCCTGAGGGACTTTTGCCAGGACCAGTTCCTCATCCCGAATCGTTTCTGACGGTCCCGGGGCCCGCGGAGGGCCCCGAGGGCCCGAAAACAGCAACAACAACAAAAACTCTGGACCCGTTTCCCTCGCGACCCGCTTCCCCCATGGAGACACGCGCACGAACCCGAAGACGATCTCCACGAAGTGCCAGGATCCGCTCCGTCCCCCTCCGGCCAGCGCCCGCGTCTCGCTCCCATCGTCTCCCCCTGCGGCCTGTATCGCCCCGCCCCTCATCTTCTGCCGAAGAAATATGCGCGCACACTGGTTTGTCAAAAAACACCAGCTGTGCGAAATGCATCAGAAACCGGAGGTTTCGTAACGATTCCAAAATCGAGTACCCCGAGAACATATGAAACATATGTTGTCGCCACAAAAACCTCCAGTACCAAAAGAACCTGCGCCCGCATGTTTGCAAATTCTTGGGGAAACCATAAGTTCTCCAACATGTACATAAAATGCTACCAAACGTGCATTTTCGCGTGCGCATGTCGAAATCATTCGACCGCCCTTGCGCGCGTGCGTGTTGCCGCAATAAGTAGATCACAAAACAACGGGACGAAGAGAACACGCGCGCGTCGTCGCGCAGGCATGCCGAAGTCTTTCAAAAACTTCAAGTGTCGCAGGGAGTTCAAAATCGACCGTACCGCAAACATACAAAGGAACACGTAGCTTGTCAACATCAGTGTTTGCTTGGTGTTCGTCGACAAACACCCCAAAGAAACACACACATATATATTACTATATATATATACAAAAAAAAAAAAAAAAAAAAAAAAAAAAAAAAAAAAAAAAAAAAAAAAAAAAAAAAAAAAAAAAAAAAAAAAAAAAAAAAAACGTTCCTGAAACTTCTTACGAAAGTCATGGAAGTGCTCAACATGTTCATGAAATTCAGCCACGCGGCCTTCACGAGCAGCATTTCCACATCATTCGAAAAACCTTGCGCGCGTGCTGGGGGGGGCACGATCCGTGTCAAAAAATACCATTCGGGCCACTCTCGCGCGTCGGCCGCGCGCGCATGCCGAACTCCCTCCAAAAAAGTTTATCACCGACGCGAGGACGCCGTCATCGTCGTCGGCGCGATCAGCATTGGAGCCATCAGCGGCCTTGCCGTCGTCGTTGCCACCATCGTCATCAGCATCGCTACAAGCATCATCGTGCCTAGTGTTGTTGACGGTGCCATGATACCGCGCACGCCCAACTCGCCAAGCCGCCGGCTCGCGCTGAAGCGCCCGCTGGGAAATGCCCCGCGGTCAGCGCCACCGCGGCCTCGCTGGTCGTGCCAAACTAGCTGCTCGTTGCGCGCGCGAGCATGCGCGGGGTAGCGCGGCCGCAGAGATGCACCAGCAAACACCAAGCACTCACCGCCATCGCCGCCGCATGAATTTTGCAAACCAAGTTGCTGGCGGGTGGGTGGGATGGTTGCGCGAGCAGTGGAGACCACAACGCATTGCGAACCAAATGATACCACTTCTGAAATATATGAGGATGTACCCCCCGTCGCATTGCAATTTACATACGTGTGTGTCCCATCATCCATCTTAAATATGAAATCGTATCATCCCAACTAAAGCGGTATCCACCCCATCCACTGCAAAAGAACTACGCACTCACACTCGACTATCAGAACTCAGTGTCCGAAACAAAACCGATTGCAAAAACGGGACGAGGTGCACACGCGCCTCGTCGAGAGCGCATGCCGAAATCCCTTGAAAATCACAGGCGCCGCAAGGTTTCAAAATCGAATGTCTTCTTTGCAAAAAAAAAAAAAAAAAAAAAAAAAAAAAAAAAAAAAAAAAAAAAAAAAAAACGTGCCTTCGCTCCTGTGAATTCGAAACAAAAACATGAGTGGCCAACCTTGTTCATAACATGCTACCGATACGGCCTTTCGCGCGCGCATGTCGACATCGCTCGAACGCCATTTACGCGCGTGCTGTCACAAGAACCACTGGTCAAAAACGGGACGAAGAACACACGCGCACGTCGTCGCGCACGCATGCCGAAGTCCTTCTTTCCTGCTAAAAGATCAGGTTTCGTAAGGATGTCACAATCGAGCGACCCGAAAAATCTTTTAAAACATTAGAAATGGTGTTGCAACATCAATGCTAAAAAACTGCCCTCGCGTGTTTGCGAATTCTTCCGGAAACCATACTTTCCATCATGTTCATTCGACTCGGCAAAACGGGCATCCCGCGCTGCATGTCGAAACCATTCGAAAGCAGGTGCGCGCGTGCTTGGGGTGGGGGGCACGATGCGCGTCAACAAATACAGCGCAGACCACGCTCGCGCGTGGGCCGCGCGCGCTTGTTGAACTCCTCCCAGCTCCTTCATCACCGAAGAAAAGACGCCGTCATCGTCGTCGGCGCGAACAGCATTGGAGCCATCAGCATAACCCTTGCGCGCGTGCTGGGGGGGGGGCACGATCCGTGTCAAAGAATGCCATTCGGGCCACTCTCGCGCGTCGGCCGCGCGCGCATGCCGAACTCCCTCCAAAAACTGTATCACCGACGCGAAGACGCCGTCATCGTCGTCGGCGCGATCAGCATTGGAGCCATCAGCGGCCTTGCCGTCGTCGTTGTCATCATCGTCACCAACATCGCTACTATCATCATAGAATATACTGTTGTCGACGTTGCCATGATACCGCGCCCACTGAAATGCCCGCTGGGAGATACCCAGCGATCAGCGCCACCGCAGCCGCGTCGGTCGCGCCAAACGAGCTTTCCGCTGCGCGCGCGAGCATGCGTGAGTTAGCGCGGCCGCATAAATGCACCAGCCAACACCAAGCACTCATCGCAATCGCCACCGAAAGGATTTTGCAAACCAAGTTGCGGACGGGTGGCTGGGATGATTGCGCGAGCCATGGAGTTGACAGTTTCAAATTCGGCAGGGCGAATTGCACCACATATGATGCACCACATAGATTGCACCACATAGATTGCAGGTGATACTGCTCCACGCCGATCGCACCCACAGACTGCACGGCATCGAACGAACCACATGGAGTGAACCACATACATTGCACCGCGTAGGTTGTTCCACATCTATATATCTATCTATATATCTATATAAATATAAATATAGCGCAACATAAACTGCTAGAAACAGAATGTTCGGGGCCCACGCTGGCCAGCACTGTTTGTAACATGTCTCCCCTTCGCGAGGAAGGTGGGGAGGAGCACGAGCAGCAGGAGGGCGGGAGGAGAACGAGGGGGACGAAACCTTTGCCCGACACCAGCGCCCCGGAGCTGCGGCCGCGCGAAACCCCCGTCCCCCCTCCAGGAACAGGCGCTTGATGTCGGTGAACGGGTTCGCCGTGTTCACGCTGTTCACAAAGCGGAACTGCCCCCCACTCACAAGCGCCCCTCTCCTCATCAGCATCAGCCTCATTCCTCTCGTCGTCCTCGTCCTCCTTCTCCTCCTGACAACCCCCTTCCTACCCACCCTTCTGATATTCCTGTTCCGCCGCCTCATCATCTGCATCGTGCCCCCTCTCCCATCATCTTCAAACAGCAATGATGCCGACCACCGCGACGAAAACGTACCTGCATACATGCGTACCTACATCTGGCGGAGAGCGCGGTGGGGAAGTGAGAAGGGGCGGGCCTTCTCAGAAGGCTTGGAAGTCCCCAAGCCTTCTGAGAAGTTGTCCAGGCCTTGCCCGAAGACACTAAAAATCTTCCCGGAAGGCCGGCGGGCTTATGAGGAGCCCCGCTGCCTTCTCAGAGGGCCTCCTCCTTCTCACGTCCCCCCCTCGCGCACCGTCGAGTTTCGTTTGGGGTCATAACTCGGGCCTCCGGCGGCCGTTCGGGACGATCCGGGCACCCCTGGAACGCTCTCGGCGGGGCGCAGCCGTTGGAACGCACCTTGCCTTAGGTCGGGCACGTGCCCCTACAGGCGGATTCTGGTCGAGAAAAAAACATCAAAACATGCTCAAAAATAGTCAAAAATCGTCCCCTGACTATTGTCTGACTATTTTTGAATATTTTCCCCGGAGATTGGCAGGCCCGATTTACATCTTGCCGTTTGCTGCCTGGTCCCCCGCGCGCGCCCCGCGTGGCGCGTGGGCTCGTGCTGCACACAGTGTTGCGTCCACGGGCAGTACTGCTCCGCCTGCTGAGTGTCTTGACTGGCCGCTTGGGCCGTGGGGTTCAGCTTGTGGCGAGAATGGCACTATCTGAGAATTTTCTGAGGGTGGAAGGCTCAGGGGTGAAATCCATGTGGGCTTTTGCACCTCGAATTTCAATGCGTCTTGTGAGTCACCTTTTGCAGGGTCAAGCCTCGAAACCCATCGAAACGGTATTTCAGATTTCACCCCTTGCCCTCCACCCAAAGAGAATGCTCGCACGGTACAGGCTGCAGCCTCTTCTTGGTTTTTTCTCTCAGGCCTTCACCACTGTCACAGTCCGTGGCGCACGTCACTCGTGCCTCCGCTCTGCTGGCCTCTAGTTTTTGGCGCAGGGCCCTCTGTTACTACCCTCTGTCACTGATGCCTTCAGGGCCCCCCGAGCTGGCCGCGCTTGGTTGGGGGTCCTGGCTCCGCGTGTTCAGGCCTCCTGGGTTTGCCACCGCTGGGGTCAGCCCTACGCGTAATGCATTATTTTGTGAGCCTCAGGCCGGTCTCAACGCAGTATGCTCGAAGTGCCTTTCAGCGGTGCAATGTTTTTGCTGGAGCCTCTCAGCCACGTGAATTGTGATAGAGGCAGGGTCGCGAATGGCAAAAGAAGATGGAGGCGGAGGAGGAGGCCGAGAAGAAGGAGGAGGTGAAGGGGGTGAGGAATGAGGACGAGGAGGCAAAGGACAGAGGAGGGGGAAGAGGAGCGAGAAAGGAGGCTGAGCCCCCCTCCCTCTGGCCCCCGCCTTGTAGTTGGTCCACAGGTCATTGCGCGGGCGGTAGCCTACCGAGGCGGGGTCCCGGATCGCGTCCCGGAGCTCCAGCATCTGACCGAGGCCAGGTTTGTACCTCGCGACGCGCCAGACGGCACCCTCCCTCCCCAGAAATGTGTGTTTTCAGCAGCGAGGGAGGGCGCCAGCGCGTTCGAAAATAGCTGGCGGGCCGCGGCGGAACTGAGAGGGCACACCAAGGAGGCGACCAGGGAAAGAGGAGGGGAGGAGAGGGGGCACGGAGGAAGCACGCGGGAGGCCTCCGGCGTGGAGCATCTCCGCTGAGAGGGGTGCGCGGGCGGGCGGCCTCGGAGACTTCCGAAGCCCTGCTTCTGCAAGCGGTTTCCCAGGAGGTCTGGGCCCCTTCCCCGAGATCCTCGGAACCAGCGAGGGCCCCCGGAGGTCCAGGATCGCCGCCGCAATCTTCTTCACGGCGCGAGGATACCAGGGTCTTCTCCCTGCTGGTCCTCCTCCTCATCCTCATCCTCATCCTCATCATCCGCATCATCATCATCATCATCATCATCATCATCATCATCATCATCATCATCATCATCATCATCATCATCATCATCATCATCATCATCATCATCATCATCATCATCACCATCACCATCACCATCACCATCACCATCACCATCATCATCATCATCATCATCATCATCATCATCATCATCATCATCATCCTTTTCCTGTTCATCCTCTTCTTCCTCCTCTTCCTCCTCCTTCTCCTCCTCAACCTCCTCCTCCACCCTTTCGTATACATCCCCGTGAGCCCCGTGAAAGCGCCACCACATCCCGCGCCGCCCCCGGCAAAGCCTTGGCGCCGTCGACGCGACCAGGGAGATCGCGCGGACCCTACAAGGAAGAACATCAGCGGCAGCTGGCGGCAAGAGACGCCGAGGAGCGCGAGAGGGAGCGAGGGCCACGGATACGCAGAGACAGGGAGAGAGGAACACGCAAAACACAGATAAAACACGGATACGATGTGCCGGGTGTGATACGTGACTATACACAACTTCATATATATATATATATGTATGTATATATATGTATATATATATGTATATATAGACATGTACATACAATCATCTATACCAACATACATGCATACATACATACATATATACATAGATGTATACATGCATACAGTCATACATGTACATAAGCATACATATACTACTACTACTACTACTACTACTACTACTACTACTACTACTACTACTACTACTACTACTGCTGCTACTACTACTACTACTACTACTACTACTACTACTACTACGACTACTACTACTACTACTACTACTACTACTACTACTACTACTACTACTACTACTACTACTACTACTACTACTGTACGGTTGGCGCTGCCAGTCTCCTCTGAAGGGCCACGCCAGGGGGGGACCAGCTCAGAGGGGGAAAACATCGACCTGGAATCGGCGATACACCGCTGATAGATCGACGACAGGCCCCCGATAGCGAATCCGCACGTTCCTGGGCGGGGTGGAGCAGTGGGCCAACTACCGGGACAGGACAGAACCGCGGCCCCGAGGGGAGGGGTGGGCGCAGCGCCACCGTCGCTGGGCGGATGCGCGGGGCTGGAAGATGTGCAGCAGCATGCGCACTGAGCACGGAAGGTTGTCAAACAATAGGTGGCCACATGCGAACCCCACCCCACCACCCCCCTCAGAAATCGTGGGGTGGTGGGGTAGGGCTCGCATGTGACCTCCTAGACAAGCTCTGCCACTACCAGCGCTCGTGCTGGCCTCCTAAGCTCCCCTTCGCGTGCACACCGACACCGCGGTTTTCAGCCAGCGAGTGGCGGCGCATCCCCCCCCCGAGCAGTTGGGGGTCGCTGCCTCCCCCCCTGAGCCTAGCCTCCTGACGTTGCCCCCGATCCTCCGCGCCCAGCCCCCCGCTGTGGAGGGCAGCGCATGGTTACCCGTACTTCTCGCACTGCCGCGGGCGCGCGCGGGCGCGCGCGCGCGCTGGCCGGCTCCCGGCGTTGTGGCGATGCGGGCAAGGGGGCCTCGCAGCTCTCAGGCACGACGCCTGCGCGCGACGAGGGGCAACGATGCGGGGGAACATCAGGAGGGGAAGTCTACGGTTCGGGGTTCGAGGCTTCGGAAGTTTTCGCTGCGTCTCGGCAGTTTTCCAGCCTCGGGATGCTTTCCAGCAACTGCACTTCGCCGAGAGCGTTCCCGGATCTCCCGGATCGTCCAGAAAGGCCGCCCAAGGCCCGAGTTATGAGCCGAAATCTAGCAGGGGACTGGCTCTGGGGGGGGAACATCGACCTGGAATCGGCGATACATCGCCGATAGATCGGCGGTAGGACCCCGATGGCGCATGGGGTGGGGCGCTTTCAGGCCCCTATTGGCGATCAATGGGCGAATGAGGGTCGATGGTCGATGCATCCCCCCATATGCCCATTGCCCCCCATCGTTGCCCCTGACGCGAGTGCTCGACAGGGTGGGTCCATGCTGTCCCGAGGCGACGTCGCGGCTGCACGCAGAGTGGCCCAGCGAAGCGCCGCTCCCGGGAGAGCCCACACATCCATGAGCATGGGGGAAATGAGTCCTGAAGGAAGCGGGTCCCGGGACCCTGGGGACTTCTCCCAGAACGAGGTCTTCATCCTGAGTCTTGTTCTGACTGTCCCGGGGCCCGCGGAGGGCCCCAGGGGCCCGACAACGATGACAACCCTTAGTACGCGTTTCCCTCAGGACACATTTCCGCCCATGGCGAATCCGACGTCGGGCCTTTTTGTTGCAGCGCGACCCCCCAAGAGAGCTCGACCGCTTCCCCGGGAGACCGCTCCTGGTCCTGGGCCGGGGCAGGAGGGCCCCCTGGATATCCCGAGCGCGGGCCCAAGCCTTGCGCCGAGCTTGCTTCGCATAGAGGCCTCATGCATAGGGTCCGAGCAGATGGGGTCGCAGGGTCGCACCGCATCGCCGATGCAGCGGCGATGCGTCGGCGATGCATCGGCGACGGTTGGCGGTGCATCGGCGACGTCGGCGCGGAGAAAATCGGGCTCCACGTCGAGCCGCATCGCCGATGCATCGGCGATCGGGGGCGGCCAAGAGGGGGGTGCCCAAGAGGGGGGGGCGCAAATCGTGGCCAGCGGCATGTGCGCGGCCCAGGGGGGGAGGGGGGGGGGCCAGGGACGCAATGAAATAAGAAGGGGCGCCAGGAACTCTGGGGAACTATCAAGGCCCCAGCCATGACATCCCCCCCCCCCTCGTCATCGCCCCCCCCTCCTTGCCGCCCCCGAGGCGCTGCGGCGCGATCGAAGGCGGGGAGGTCCGGGCGCAAGCCCGGGACGGCGTGCGCCTCCGGCGAGGCGCCGCGGCGGCCACGCGTCGAGCGAGCCGCGCGGTGGGCGCGGAGGGGCGCGGCGCGGCGCGGGCGCAGGCGCGGCGCGTGCGGGCGCCCCTCTGAGGAGCCCCTGCCATTGCTCGGGCGTCCATCCCCCGTGCGCTTTTCGGTCTCGTGCGTGCTTTTTTTGCTCGAGGGTCCAGGAGGGTCCTCGAGGGTTCTCGCCGAGAAAAAAAAGACACACGTCCGAGCGATGCCGGGAGCCCCCTCCCCGGGGGTGCGCCCGGTCTGGGGTGCACACGCGCGGCCGCCCCCGGAAGAGCGGAGGAGGCCCTCCGCCTCCCATACAGTTTTTTGATTCGCGGGTCGAGAGCGCACCTCTTCCGGTCGAAGCTAAGCGGGCCGCGCACAGCTTGAATTAACAAAGAGGGGGAGACAGGAGGAGAGGCCTACCCCCCCCCCTCCCATACAGTCGGACTTCACTGGCCAGGGCACGCGAGAGGACAGAATACCCTTCCGAGGGCCACAAGGCCGTAGGAATGCAGGGTCGCGAGGCACAGGACACAAGGGTACCCTTGAGCTGGCAGGGTCGACCTACTAATCCGGGCCGCCTGTATCGTTCTTCCCCCCCACGGCAAGAGTGAATGCCGCTTCAACGTGGTTTTGCGCTCCGTCGTGCTGCTGGTCGACTGGACAAGCCGAGTCCGCAGCTCCTTCACACGCTCATCGAGAAGGAAGAGTGAGGCAGTGCGCGGTGCCTGGGACTGCCCTCCACCTCCCATATGAAACGCTCGTGATTCCTGCGAGCAGCACGGGAGGCGCCAAACGGTCGGCGGCAGAGGCCTGGTCCTGGTCCCAAAAAAGGGAAACAGAGGCACGCGAGCGACGAAGCAAACGAGAGGGCAACTGACTTTGGAGCCGTGAGTGGATCAGCCCAGAGTGTCAGTAACGGGGTTGTGCTGCCTCCTGTGACCTCTTGAGCTGCCTACGCCCACTCGTGCCCACCGCGTCCCGTCTCCAGGGCAAGTTCATGCGTGCTCACTCCTTCACTCATGCTCCCCTTCCATGAAAGGTGGGGGTACAAGTGAAGTTTACATCGCAGGCCACGATGCGGTGCAACTGGATTGGGCTCACCGAAAATCCCACCAGCCCTCTGGGCGTCGATGGTCTAGAGAGTTTCCTCTTCCAACCCCCTTCTTCCCCTTCGGGGAGGGGTTTACCCCTCCCCCGACCCCCTCCCCTGGACCTGGACGGAGGGTTCCGCGGATCGTTGGGGCGTCCAAGATGGCCCAAGACGGCTCCATGAACGAAAAGGCGAGAAAGCAAAAAAACATTGATTCCCGTAGGTTTTGGAAGGAGTTTGGCCTCTTTTGGGACCCAAGAGGCGGTTCGAGGCACTCTAGAGGGGCAAGGCTAATTGACCACCCCCCTTCTTTGATAGATCTCCTCCAACATGGCCCCTAAGAGCGCCCCGAAGGCTCCCAAGAGCGCCCCAAGAGCGCCCCAAGAGGACCCCAAGAGGCCCCAAGAGGCGCCCACGAGGCCTCCAAGAGGCTCCAACCCCCAAGAGGCCCCAAGAGGCTCCCCGAGATACGCAAGAGGCCCCCGGGACTGCCAAGAGGCCCCAAAGACGGCCCAAGAGGCCCAAAGCTCGCCATTGTCCTCCTCCTCCTCCTCCTCATCATCCTCCTCCTCCTCCTCCTCCTCCTCCTCCTCCTCCTCCTCATTATCCTCCTCTCCTCCTCCTCTTTTTCCTCCCCCTCCTCCCCCTCCCTCTCCTCCTCCTCCTCCTCCTCCTCCTCCTTCTCCTCCTCCTTCTCGTCCCCACGTCCTCGCCCTCCTCCATCTCCTCCTCCTCATCTTCCTCCTCCTCCTCCTCCTCCTCCTCCTCCTCCTCCTCCTCCTCCTCCCCCTCCTCCTCCTCCTCCTCCTCCTGCTCCTCCTCCTGCTCCTCCTCTTCCTCCTCCTACTCCGACGACGACGACTCCTCCTACATCCTCCCCCTCTTGGGGTATATGGCGGCTTACCCCGCCCTTTGTTTTTCTGCATGCTCCCCCGCTTCCCTCATCACCTCCACTCCCCTGGGACTCATTTCTGGACGGGCTGGTGGGGATACGCGAAGCGTTTAGAATTTACGACCAGCAGGCCCAAAAAGGACAGTACTTGCAAACCCTGCCTTGCGTGGCACTACCGTCAAGACTCCAGCAAAACCGGCGCATGTAGGTTGGAGAAGCGAAGAGTGCTTGTCGTGAGTATCTTTCGTGAATGGGTTCAAGGACACACAAATGAATGGACACACGTCCCAGGATTCCCGATGTTTTACCATATTATCCAGACTTTCGTCTCCCTCTCCATTTTTCATATTTTCCCATGTGTTCCTCGAAATCGACGTTTGTTTGTGTCTGTGCCTTCTTTCCCCTCCTGATCTCTGGACGCGAGGGCTGAATCCCGGGCTTCACGATCCACACGTGGACCATTGAATCGCACTCGATCTGCGCACGGCGGGGTCGTGTCGTGCCGACTTCGGCGTCGGTTCCCGACACTGCGGGGATCGTTCAACCTCGAATGATCGGCCATTCTCGAAACGTTCGATCTTTCAACACCGACCGATCCTGGGTCGCCGTCGGCGCGCAACGTGGAACGCCGGCGGCGGGGTCGCCGCTGGTCGACACGACGCGAACCGACCGTAGCTCCCCACTCCGCCGGAGCGCGCAGGGTTAGGTCGGGTCTGTCCTCCTACAGGCGGATTTGGAAGAAACATAAAAATGCTAGAAAATCGTCAAAAATAGCCACACAACACGAGAATAGTCCCCACACTATGTTCTACTACTACTATTGAATAAGATTCCTCCTGTCGAGGGACATGCCCGACTTTCCAGCAGTGGACAAACCTCTCTTTAGTAAGCCTCCCCTTAGTGAAAACGGCCCGGGAATGAAACCGACGGACCTGGACCCGCAAAAAATGACGGCCGCGAGGCCCTCTCGCGAACCGAACACGGCCAATTCCTCAATCGACGTGTCAGGGTAGGAGGTCTATCCACCTCCGAACTTTAAGCGCAGGGTCGCACGAGACCTTTTTTTTAATCGGCGATAACCTGGGTTTTCCTAGGGGGGGAGGAGGGTGCTGGCCGATAACCTAACCCTCGCGCTGTGGACAGCCCTGCATCTGCCCGCGCCCACCCCCCCCCCGCGGACCTGCACAACCGGCAAGGTTAGGTTATGCTGGGGGGGGGGAGGGGGGGGGCAAGCCCGATAACCCGGGCTATCGCCGGACCCTAAAAAACAGCCTCCAGGGAAGTGGCGACAGTCTAGAGGCCTCCTGGTTGCGGTCCGAGTAGATAGGGTCGAAGGGTCGCGCCGCATGGCCAGTGCACCGCCGATGCATCGGCGATGCATCGGCGATGCATCGGCGGCTTCGGCGTGGGGGAACACGGGCTCCACATCGAGCCGCATCGTCGACACATCGGCGATGCGGCGCGCGCGATCCTCCGACCCCATCTACTCGGAGGCCTAGACGGTCGCACACGAGGCCTAGACAGGAGGCCTAGACAGTCGCACTATGACCCCATCCAGGAGGCCTAGACAGTCGCACGCGAGGCCCGGTGCCCATCGGCGCCGCTCACCGCTCCGCCGGGCGCCCACGGGGGGGGGGCCAGAAAGCGCGGGAGGGAGCGCGCTGCACTGGCGCTCGGCTCAAGCACAAATCGGGGTGCCCCCCCCCCAAAAAAAACAAAACAAAACAAAAACAAAAAAACAATAAAAATAAAAAATAACATAAAAAACTGGGGATACCCCCCCACA